CCATTTCCCTTCTATCCAGTATGGCATAAGGATTTTTCAGAAAATCATCATGAATTACTATTTTGAAACAATAGATATTATATTAAATAAAAATTATGTATCAATGTTATCATTTTCGGGCGTTTTCAATCCGCCGGGGTTCTACCGGGGCTCTGCCTGGATCGTCCTGGGCTCTGCCGGGGCATTGCCTGGATCGACCGGGGCTCTGCCTGGGTCAACCGGGGCTCTTCTGGCGTAATCCGGGAACAACTGGGGAAGCACCGGCATGAACCGTAGCTTCACCTGGGCTCTGGCTGGATGATCCGGAGCGCATCCTGGGTGGTTAGTTGGGAACTACCGTAGTGCTGCCGGGGTAAGTGTGACCGCAACAATAATTTCACCCCGGATCGTCCCGGGTCATCCCGGTAACTTAGTAACTTAGCCGGGAGTAAGAGAGACCGCAACTTAAGTTTAATAACAGATGAGTATTGTTAAGATTAAAAAAAAGCCACATGAGACATTAAACGTCACCTCTGAAATAATCTTTTTTATTATGTGAATAAACACGTGTTGAATAATTAATTATGCATTGGTAAAATGAATATTGTATGTGAAGTTGACATTCGGGCATTAAACTACAAAAACATACATTAAAATATGCTAAAAAAATTGCAATATTGACATAATTTTCCGTTTTTCTTTTTTATCAAAATAAATTTAAATGTGTTTTGAGGTTTTTTTTCAGGTTAAGTATTGCAAACAGAAGATATAGACAGCAGACATTTGTCAAATATCTTACTACATGCTCACCAAGGTTTTTTTTTCATTGGATGATAGTATTGTTAAAAATTCAAGATAAACACAAATTAATTTGCATTTTGTGTATTTTGACGCGTTGTTTTGTGATAATAAAACGATAATTGTGCGCTTTCTATATTTGTCAATCTGGTTATGATTTAAATACTCTCATTTTCTAATGAAAAAATTCTATATATCATGACGTGCTCCTTAAATTTCATTCAAAGTTTTGAAAGAAAATGAAAAGGGAAAGATTAATTAAGAATATAATCGCCAGGTAGCTTACAAAGCACTTATTCAAGAAGAGTTGAAACTGGTGTTTTCTTGATTCATATAGTACATATATTCTGGTCAGGCTTTCAATATATGACACACTTGACAAATGCAATCGAAAAAATGTACTTATAATAAATATCACTGTATTATAGCATAAAAATTTAAAAAGAGAAAGAATAATTAACTATATAATCATATGGTGAATTACAAAGCACCTTTTCTTAAAGAGTTGAAACTTGCGTATTTTTTTCGGGAGCAGGATATATCAGAAACATCTTGGTGAAAAAAACAACACCTCTTGAATATTGTTAGTTGAATAAATGAATTTCATTGATGCTCTTATCATGTTGCCAACAGTAAGGAATGAACGAGGGTGTTGTAAAGACACGCCTTATTGTTTTATGTCCTCATCACGATTTTTATAAAATGCTAGCAAATATATCATCGTGTCCGATGTAAAGATTGTTATATAAAAATAGGCAAATCTCAAAATAAAACACTAAATAATAAGATAAGAACAACTATGTTATCCTTTCAATAATATTAATGTTTACGTTCTTTTTATAAAAATAGGTTCGGTTGGAGGGATTGTTATTATTTTACACTACATGGTTCATTTTACATGGAATGGCACTAACGTATCTCATTGGATATTAACCGCCGTAGGAACAATCTGTGGATGTTTCTAAATTCAAATTTCACCATTGCCATCTTTAAATGTTGAATTCTGCTTAAGCCTGTGCTAGGGGGTGTGGACAATAACTTGCAATTTCCCGTACCGTTCATGAACCGGCTCAATCAAACTGAGTCTGCAACAATTACATTTTTGTCGTTTATGGTGTTCTTTACGGATTCTGAATTTTTTCCATTATAAAGAGAACCATAAACAGTCTCTATTAAGGGCGTGATTATATCAACAGTTTGTGTTAAGCAAGTACCCGTTTTGAATGACCAATCTTCCGTTAACTTGATGATACAATTTATCTCAGTGCTATTTATTTTTGTCTGGGCCTTCAGAATGATAACACTTTATTGTATGGAATTAACAAATTTAGAAATTGATAATCTCCTGTATGTTTTTACATTTATGTATTTTAATAGTTTGAATATGTTAAATTTATATTGTTCCTTGTTGAGGGCCTCATGGAAGATTGATATGTTTTTGTTCAAATGAGTTCTCTCGTTAAATAAAGTCTTTATTATTATTATTATTATTATTATTATTATTATTATTATTATTATTATTATTATAAGTAAACTATACGGCGAAAAAGCTACTTAGTATTGAACTGTTTATAAATCATTGACATTTATATTCTTTCAGACTGCAATATAATTATTTGTTTATCATATTATTCCATATTTCCTGGTCATAATAAATGAAACCGATATAAAGCCTATGAAGATGTTTTTTCTAAAGCTTCTAAACATTCACAATACCAGAGTTACAAAGGAATAAAATGGACGAGATATACAGATACATTTAAAGGATATGTATTTTATAAGACGACTACATAAATGAATATCCCAAAATAATCGCGGAAAGGCTACCATTGAAAAATATCATTTCATTGTACTTGACGTATACTTTTCTTAGGATTAAATAGCAGCTTTTAATATTTTTATGTTAAATATAAGTACGCAGTCATGCTAATCAGCAAATTGATTTACAATTGAACATTTTTTATGCTGCCATTCATATGTATTGAAAAATGATATATATACGTTTCATAGTATTTCTTTCACGTTGAAAATTATTAACAACCACCCGATATCAATTAAATTGCTTCACACCCAACGGAAATTTTATACTAGGAACCATAAAAAATGACCAGTTTGTTAAAAGATGAGATTTTTTATGATTCTATGAAAGAGGCCACATGAGAAATTGAACGTATTCTATGAAATAATCTCTGGGTTTATAAGAGTATAAAGATATGTGTTGAATGATTTAGCAACGGGAAAACGAATAGTGTATGTGAAGGTGTCAGCCGCGCTGTTAGCTCGAAAATCGTACATTAAAATATGATAAATGTTTCAATATAGACGACATAATTTTCCGTTTTCCTTTCAAAATTAATTTTAATGTGTTTCGACTTTTTAGAAGTTGAGTATTGCTAACAGAAAATAGAGACAGGAGATATTTGTCATATATGGTACTACGTGCTAACCAAGGTTATTTTCATTTTTGTTTTGGATGAAAGTATTGTTTAGAATCCAAGAGTAACATAAATAAATTGTATTTTGTGTATTTTGCCGCGTTGTTTTGTTGGATAGTGTGTGATCATAAAAGATCATGGTGCTCTTACTATATTTGCCAATCTGGTTATGATTTAAACATGTTCATTTTAATGAAAAGTTCTATATATCATGACGTGCTTCTTAAATTTCATTCACCGTATTGCACTAAAATGTTCAAGGGAACCATTCATTAAGTATAGAATAACAAAGTAACTTACAAAGCACCTCTTCGTGAAGACTTGAAACTTGGGCATCTATTACTGGGAATATGCTATATGTTATTATAGAATATCAAATACATCCTGGTAATAATAACACTTCTTGGCTTTTTGTAAGTTAAAGTAATGAATTTCATTGATACTCTTATCATGTTGCCAACAGATTTTATCCGGGTGTTGCAAAGACACGCCTTGTTGTTTTATTTTTTCTTCACGAGATTCCCATAAAATGTGAACAAATTTATCGACTACTTGTCCGATGTTATGATAGTTTTACAGAATATACGCCCAAATTCTTAGAAAAACAACAAATAAATAACGATAAGAAGATACAATCATGATGTTATCCGCTAATTTATATTTTGTATATATTATTTTTATAAAAGCAGGTTCGGACTAGGGTTAGGAATTCATCGGGTAATTTACGTCTATTCTATAGTAAAAATCCTACTTTTTTATGTTGCTTCAAATGAAACATTTATGTAGCAAAATACGTCGAATTGATCATTTTACAATATAAAAGTCCATGTATCATCAATTCATTATCTTGAAAAAGATCAAAACAGTCATACATCAGAGACAACATTTTAAACCCCTTTCCTGTGAATCTTGCTGATCAACTGCTACGACTGGTTATAACATGTGTTAAGTCTTCGGAATTTATAAACTAAGATGATCAATTATATCAAAGTATTTTGAAAAAGCAACGTTAAAATGGTTTCTTCAAATGATTTTTAGGACTTTTTAACCATTGGTAGCATAGGTTGAAAAAGACTGTCTTTTTTAAAACGTTATCAACTTATCAACAGTGTGTGTAAAGTAAAGGTGAATTTTTATAACATATTTTTCAAATATCATTATAAACGAGTAATGCTTTGTATCTCTAGAAACGGATCGTCACTAATAAGCTAGTACCAGTTTAGAATGACCAATATTCTGTAAACTACATCAGTAACTTTCTAACATACATGTACAACAATTCAATACAGTATTACTGACTATAATACTCTGTTGCATCGAGATAATTAATCAAGAATCTCTCACGAACAGGCTAGATCAGAACAAGTCTGTATTTTTCATTTTGTTCTGAAAAGGAATCTCCCCTTTACAAGATATTATTGACAATTCCAAAAATAATAATTTTAATTGACGTATAATTACAGAATTGGTATTAAAGTCAACACATCACTTTTTTTAATACGATCTATTATTCCAATAGATCCTTGAATCAACTGTATGTTTCAATAGAAACATGTTAATTTGTTTGTAATTGTGCTGTCACTTATTTCTCAATTTAGAAGTGCTGTTTAAGTACAGAAAAATAAAACTGTTTCCCGCAAACTGTTTCTGAGGGATTTCCTTTGATACCGTAATTCAGTAGATTTATGCTAAACAACTATACTAAAAATCTTATTACGGGCCTCATACTCAAATTACAAAGCAGATTTCCTTGTATAAATACAATTGTTTCTCTCAGCGAGTATGATTCAGATACTTTCTTAAACTTTATTTTTCAACAGTCCTCATCAAAATGAGGTTCTCATTGTTTTTTTCATTTGTTATTGTCTTTGGAATATATAGTTATAATTTTTCTGAGGCTAGAGAGCCTGTATGTTCTAAATTTGCATATGAAGAACAGCTTTTAGAGAAAATGATAAGAACTGAAATTAAGGTAGAATCAATGGTGAATGAAGTTAAGAAAACTGAGGATAATGTCATCCGTACGTTAAGCGACATTAAACGAGCAGTGTCAGATTTTACTGACATGTTTGCAGACATGAAGGAGAACATAACCGACGAAATGTTAAAGAGAAGTGACGAGATAGAAAGGAGAGAAGGTAAAATATAAACATCAAATTTTTAGAAAATGATATTTGTATACTGATGCAATGCGAAAAATGACTTATATCTTTAGCTTGTAATTTACAACTGATTTGTTTAGTTCTGAATCAATATAACGTAATAGTTCGTATAGCTTCATTAAAACTGAAATGAGAAAATCTGTAATATGATAAATGCGTGGAACATTTAAAATTTAAAGAATCATAAGCTTTAAATAAGAAGATATTTTTTTATAAACCGGTTTCAATGATGACATATTTACCTAAATTTCTATGTTTAGATTGCATAATCTCTATTGATGCAAGCAATAAATAGATAAAGGGAAAAGTGAATATCATGTAACAAAATAAGGACAATAAAAATGGAAAATTTCATAAAGTTGATTGATAATTAACAACCTCGTGCTAAACAATGTGCTAGTACAAGCATGGACATGTATAAAATTCATAAAAATACATCAGTTAATTGTTACACTGCTACACTGTTACTATTCTGTCGTGTGTTTATTTTGTGCTCTTTCTAGTTGATGAGGGGCGTCCTTGGCCGAGTGGTTAAGGGCGTTGACTTCAAACCACTTGCCCCTCACCGCTGCCGGTTCGAATCCCGATAAGGATTTTTGGATTCTTTCATGTGAAGAAGCTATCCAGCTAGTTTACGGAACGTCGGAACGTGTTCTACTCAGGTGCCCGTTCGTGCCTGAAAAATGCACGGAAGGGCACCTGAAGTCTTCCTCCACCAGTAAAACTTGAACGTCGACAAATGACCTATACTGTGTCGGTGTGTCGTAAAACCCAATCAATCAAACAATTCTCGTTGATGCGTCAATGAATACTGCTAGATTTCTAGATTTGAGATATTTCTGCTTTTTGTATAATTCTAATCTATACAAAACAAGAATTGCAGAAAATATGTATGTTAAGATTACTATACCTAACAATCATGTTTCCATGAAGAACATAGCTAACTCGTCATTTTTGGGTTTTTCTTATTAGTGAAGATATTACCTGAGTTTTTATTGCATTAATCTTATATTGAATTACGTCAGGAAATTGCTAACTCTCCAGCCAATAGAAATTCGAAAAAATGAATTGAAATTTGATTATAGAAAATAAGAATATATATTAGAATGCAGGTTGTTTTGCTGCTTAAAAATTTATTTTAAGATGAACACTAGTGTCTATGTAAAACTATATTTCGAATCAAGTTTCGTATTATCAGCAACACTTTCTGCATACAGTTATGTACACATAATAACACATATAATACTTATAGAACTTTGATTACCGTTTGTAATTGTACTTTGATATTATTTTTACAGAATCCTTCAAGATATTATTTGAGGAAACAAGAACAAACCTCACGAGTGACATGAAAGCTAAAAGAGAAGAACTTACTCAACTTCAAGGTATTATTTTTTTCTGTACTTTAATACGTCAATATTCAGTTTGAAATATTAAGAATTTTACTAATGTTTTGCGTTAACTTTAAACTAGTATTGCCATCAACCTATTTAATTACATGTATATATACTAATTTTGAATACAATTCATCATCTTTATTTTGTAAACATGTTTCTATTTTAGCTTTAAAATATCATGTTTTACATATATGTAGATTTACATAAGATATTTCCCCCAACGCTTATATTATAAATCGAATGCAAAATTAAAATCAGGAAGTCTGGCTATTCTTTAAATTTAATCATCGGTTATTGATACGCATTAGAATTCTTATGTTTATATAAAATTTCGCAAAATAGAAACAAGAAACAAGAAATAAATCATAATGAAACAATTTTAAGAAACACGTACTTACTTGTCTTGTTTGTATATCAGGAAAACCTCCGATCGCTTTCCATGTGCATCACGTCGCAGATTTGGTTCTTGATAAAGCAGATGAGATTGTTATATTTACGAAAAGTTTGATTAACGAGGGAACAGGCTATGACACTTCTACTGGAATATTTACAGCACCCGTTGGAGGACTGTACCAGTTTTCTGTGCATTCATGTGTTCCTCAAAGAGGGCATGCTTTCATTGGCCTTGTTTTAGAAGGTAAAGTTATTGCAGCTGATGTGAACTATGATGATGTTTTCCACACATGTAGTGCTTTTGGAGCAATAGCGAGAGTAAAATCAGGAGAAAAAGTTTGGGTCAAATCAACATCGTCAAGTTCCAGCCGCCAGCTTTACCAAGACCAGTATAGGATGATCACTTTTAGTGGCATGCTTGTCAATAACTAAATAAATAAATTATTCAGCATTGATATCAGTAAAAACCATATTTATATATTTGTATCAGACGACACTCAAAAACATTTGTTTTTTGCAAATTGTTTCAATCACTTAAGACTTAATATCACAACAAATAGATAGCTTTTTTGTGATTTAAGAAGAGACCCTATGTTGTATCTATAATAGTTGTATTATATCTAAATGTTATGAAGAATATTAATCATGTTTGTTCACTGTGCTATTTCCTAAAAGCCAAAGTATCTAGCCTTAATATTAAACAATATTTCTTTCTTTTAGAAAATATGTTTATGTGAATCATTTAATACTGCTGTCATCAAATCTAAATTATTTTTTTATCAAATACGATATACAACAACGACGAGAGGATTTCAAAGAAATAATTTATCATGTACTTTCAATTTTTACTAGGCTTACTTTACATAATTGGCTTTATGTTTATGACTAAATATCGTCTGACGAATATTTTGATAACCAATCTAAGAAAAGATTAAGTATTTAGTCATGTTTATCAGTATACATATACAACTATAGTGTTGCGTTTTCAAATAAATATGGCATGTATACATTTGTTCTTTAATGTATGTTGTTATTTTCTTGGCACACAATATCATCATTTTGATGAATACTATGCGTTATTACATGATGGGTTGCCAAAAGAATCAATTTTATCAACTTAAATGCTTACTTTGAAACTCTGTGCACTATCTGATAATTAACTGCAAAATTTTGTTATGGTATATCTGAACTGTATATATTATATTCCATTTTGTTATGTACTTCGGGAGATAAAAAGGAGGCGTATGTGTGTCTGTTTAATGTTGCAATGAAAGATAAGTTTAAATAAAAACTCAAAGGTAATTAGCAAATTTTAAAGCGAAGAAAAAACTTATGCTACAAAATTATAATGAAGTTTATGTAATTATCTTTGAAATTATTGTTTAGCAATTCATACTCTTTTGTTTATATACAAAATTAATAATCAAAAACCAATGGCGCTTTTGCAACTCCTTGAGAATGGTTTTTCACGGTCCTTCATTAATTTTGAAGTGACGTCATTCATGTTATACAGACAAAGCTTAAAGCTGTGCTTAATGTTAGTTTTGTACCTTAAGATTATCAATGATTTGAATTTTCTTTTTTTCTGTTTGTAACAAAAAGAATATCATGATCATGTAGCTTTATTAGTTAATTTATTGAACTCATAAAATAATGATATTATCCTCGCCAGAGACTCACTTGAACTCGGTATTGAATATACACTCGTTCAATATCCTCTATATATCTCTGTAAGAAAACAACTGTAAATAAATAATTATCGTATTTACTACAAATTTGTATAATATTTAAATTTTGTTAATTAAGTAGGTATGTATTTTATTATCGTGACATCTATTACAATACACATCTACAAGAAAAATAACATAGCACCCTTCCACAAGGCCTATATGTCACCAGAAATCATGTAGGAACAATAATCAAAACTAGAACTATCGCTGAATGCGATTCATACCCCCACCAATGTCCTTGACAGAAGACCACTTGGAAAGGTGGTTAAGGGAATAACTTATGTGGCACAAATACATAAAAAGAAATTATCTCTTGGTGAAAAAAAAGACCAATTGTACAGGTAATAGTATAAATAATATATTATCAAATCATGTTCGAAACAGTACAAATAACCTTTCATTTTTCCCAATGTATTAAACATTTTATTTATAAGTCAAGTTTTTGACCTTCAAGTGTGGCCTTGACCTTAATCTGGCACAAGGGTAAGATGGGTTTTTGCACATCACCCAGTTTGGTTGAACATTTGAGTAAAGACAAAGTTTGAAGAAAATCCTTCCATTAGTATAGAATTTATAGAGTAGACACAATATATTGTCTAGTATTGGTTGTATGTAAATTTGAAGACTTAAAAAGGGGCATAACTTTGTCAAAATGCAATACAGAATAATGAAACTTGACCTGCATATCTTATTTGCCACACCTCATATATCTTTTTAATTTTCAAGCAAATGCCTGCGCTAGTTTCAGAATTATTCAAGTACATGCATTAAAATTTAAGAACATTTTCTAAGTCAATTTTTGACTTTCAAGTGTGACCTTGATATTTAGCCGGCACAAAGGTGACATGGATTCTGCACATAACCTTGTTTGAGGTGAAAATTTGAGGTAAAGTTTGAAGAAAATTCTTCCATTAGTATAGGATTATTAGAGCGGACACAACATATTGTCTAATATTTGATTGTATGTAAATTTGAAGACTTAAAAAGGGGCATAACTTTGGTAAAATGCAATACAGAGTTATGAAACTTGAACGAACAGCATATCGGAATTGTGACCCTTCAAAATATTTTTAAGTTTCAAGCAAATACCTTTTCTAGATTTAGAAATATTCAAATAAATGTTAAAATTTAAGAATATTTTTCTAAGTCAATTTTTAAACCTTAAAGCTGTGACCTTGACCTTAAGCAGCAAAAGGAGTGACATAAGTTCCTGCACATCCCTTTGGTTGAGATGAAATTTGAGCCAAGATTTGAAGAAAATCTTTCAATTAATGTAGGACTTTTTTGTAACAGAAAATACGGACATGACATACTGTGGTAATATTAGATTGTTTGATATTTTGACCTTCAATTGTGACCTTGACCATGAGCTGACACGGATGGGCAACATGGATTCTGGCACATCCCCTTGTTGAGGTGAATATTTTGAGCCAAAGTTTGGAAGAAAATCTTTTCAATTAGTGTAGTCTTACAGAGTGGACACAATATTACTGTGTAATATTTGATTGTTTGATATTTGACCTTCAATTGTGACCTTGACCTTGAGCTGGCACATAGGCAAACATGGGTTCTGCACATCCCCTTGTTGAGGTGAACATTTGAGCCAAGTTTTTGAAGAAAATCTTTCAAGAAGTGTAGGACTTACAGAGCGGACACGACATACTGTGTAATATTTAATTGTTTGATATTTGACCTTCAATTGTGACCTTGACCTTGAGCTGACACATGGCGACATGGGTTCTGCACATCCCTTGTTGAGGTGAACATTTTGAGCCAAGTTGAAGAAAAATCTTTCAAGTAGTGTAGGAACTTACAGAGCGGACACAACATACTGTGTAATATTTGATAGTGTTGATATTTGACCTTTGTGACCTTGACCTTGAGCTGGGCACATGGGCAAATGGGTTGTCTGCACATTCCCCTTGTTGAGGTAAACATTTGAGCCAAGTTGAAGAAATCTTTCAAGTAGTGTAGGACTTACAGAGCGGACACCACATACTGTGTAATATTTAATTGTTTTGATATATTTGACCTTTCAATTGTCGACCTTGACCTTTGAGGTGACACATGGGTGACATGGGTTCTGCACATCCCCTGGTTGAGGTGAACATTTAAGCCAAGTTTTGAAGAAAATCTTTCAAGTAGTGGTAGGACTTACAGAGCGGACATGACATACTGTGTATATTTGATAGTGTTTGATATTTGACCTTGCAATTGTGACCTTGACCGTGAACTGACACATGGGCAATATGGGTTCTGCACATCCCCTTGTTGAGGTGAACATTTGAGCCAAGTTTGAATGAAAAATCCTTCAATTGGTATAGGAGTTATAGAGCGGACACGAAAGTGGAGACGGACGGACGGACGGACCGACCGACGGACGGACCGACCGACCGACCGACGCGACAAAGCGAATCCATTATAGCCCCCCCCACATTTTGTGGTGGGGGTATAATTATGCATTTACACATAGAATACGAATTTGAGTCAATTTGTATATTTCTGAAAAACTTAAGAAGAGCGATTAGTAAATCATGAATCTTGATTATAGTTTAAGGAGTATGGTTCGCTTTCGTTTCTGAAGGTTATGTTATCGATGTCCCCGAATCTTTAATATCGTTATCTTTAAAAAGCAAAACACAAAAAAGAAAGAAACAAATGAAAGGTCAACATGGTTATTTCATTTTAAAGATTTTAGTTGTCCATGTAAAATAATGCCGCTTATTCTAACATACCTTTTATTTGTAATATTAAACTTTGGTAAATACGAAATTTGAAATACTAACACGTATTAAATGAAATGAATTGTATGAAGGAGTGTTTTGTATTACAAATAAATACACGTTGTTGATATTCCTGATGAATACATATAATAACGCTATCATGAAAGTAAATAAAACTCTCTAGTGCTTACAACAAATCTAGTACATTTTCTAGGAAATTTAAATATTAAATGTTTAAATTTGTACTATGTTCCTAAAATATTTGTTCTTCATCGCACACTGTAAGAGGATATGTTTGAGTAGCAAAGTCATAGCCTGTGTTTAACCATTTATCCTATATAACGACCAGTTTCTATTCTAAGTGGCAATATCCCGCTTCTAAACTGGCAAAATAATGGACGTTCATATTTCGCAAGATACTTGACTATTTCTCTGAGTAGTAGCGAGTAATTGGATCACGTGTCGTCGAAAGCGTAATCATTGATCTAGAATTAAAAAAACACTCTTAATTAAAGATTATCGGGGACTTTTTTAACGTCTCAGGACCAATTGTTACGGCATATCCCATAATCATGATGTTTTTTTTCAACCTGTTGTCGCCCTTTAATTGTAGCCTATTCCAGAAGCGTAAAATACATATCCAGCGTCTATACAGACTAGGCAGTCAACCTGCATCACCGTTTAATGTGATTGTGTACACACAATAAGTATCGTTATAAAGATATTGACCGGATATATATAAAATGAAAAACGACGTTATAAACGTGCATTACATTAAATAGCTGAAAACATTTCTAGATTGCATTGTGTTCTTATATGATACACTTGTTGCTCAAAATACCAATATTATAAATTATAGAAAGCATGTCTTAAAAAAGGTATTGTCGTATGTAACGGTTTTTAATAATAAAGAGAGATAATCGGTTATAGGTTTTTAATGATAGATACTTTGCCTGACCGGCAATCAAATCAAGTATGTTTTATTTTAAAAGCAAAATTATATTCATTGAAAAAACTGTCATATAATTTTAACAGTTGTGTATCTTCGTAAATATACAAGAATATTGTTTTGCAAGGAACCCGTACACAAACATCTATTTGTATCATGCAACATACAGAAACTTTGATTAGATAATTACTTGTAACATCATTGTAAAACTACCTACGTGTGGTATGAATGTGTATGATGTATTTGTCAGGTTTTCTTTTAAGGTTAAAGCTTTAAGTTGACTAAAATATAGCTTGTATAATGGTTACATCCTTTAAATATAAATAATCACTTAATCAGAACACATATTTTACGTATGTACTATTTTCATTGATATAATTCATGTTTTTGTTTTCGCTTATGTTTCTACAAAGGGAAGAAAAACAGTTTGCAAACATTGTTTGATAATAGTACTTGGTATTTCCCTTGCATTGAAAAGCTATATTGTACATATTTTTGCTTAAAAGTTTGGATGTTTCTCTTAAAACAGTCACTGCCAATATTTTTCCATCAAATTTACGATTTAAGATCGTAACAATCTATGCCTTGAATCAACTAAACCTTACACATTCATTTGTTTTGTTTTACGTAAATAAACGATTTTTATTGTTGCATGAACATGATAATCTGTTAGGTTTAGAAAGGGAAGTAACACCTTTAGAGTAGTTGTTATTGCCCTTGCATTGAAAAATATATTACTTAAAATTTCGGACAGTTACACAAATCTTAAACTAGTCACTGATATATTAATTTACAATTTTAAATCGTAATACTCTACCTTGAATCAGCTAAACCTTACACATTAGTTTTCATTTTTTTTTGATTTCGTAATTGAACAACTCCATGTTACATTGTTTTCAATTATCATTTGATGAAACCGGTATAAAAAAATCTCAAGTAGTCGGAGGCCAATAAAGATATACATCAATACTAGAAAGAATAAACAGGTCAGTTATCAGTAGAGAGGAAGTGCATGTTGGTGACATGAATATATGTTTATTTTTTTATTAGGGATAATTGTAATAAGGTATTTTCTTACTTTGATGTAGAGGAGCGTCGAGTGTGTTAGTCATAGCACTTCAACTTTTTTTTTTTTTTCACTAAGGTAACAACACTTATGTCATATTTAAAAAGTGGGGCCTAAAAAAATAATAAAAAATAAAAGGCAGTCTGACCGGGACGTGAACAAGATACCATCGAAATACCGTACCGCGGTCTACCGACTGAGCTAACCGACCACTTACACACTATCTCCCCTACTTAGTGAATAGTTCTGAACTTCGAAAATAGA